CCACAACCCCCCTCTCCAAGGAAGAAAAAAAAAAAAAAAAAGAACAATTAGAGGAGAACGAAGAATCTCTTCGTTCATTTTTTCTCATCCCCCTATACACGATTTGCTTTTCTACTTTTGTCCTCGCAAACAACACACGCTTTCCTTCAGGCCGTTCCTCGTGTATTTCCAATCGATTCGTGTTTTTCTTTTTTCTTTCTTTCTCCAGCATAATCGACGATCCCCGAGGAACGAAGGAAACGCGATTCGGGCTCTGTAATATGCTTCTCTTCCACGCGAAAATTATAAGCTAACCCTGTTACTCTCTCTCTCTCTCTGACACACGTACAAAGCATCTCTCGTTCGTCCTCACGCGCGCGCTCTTCCTCTCGTTTCCCAGTCGCACACGATTTGCTTTTTTTTCTTCGCCTTAGTAACAAACTAATAGTTTTAAACAACTTGAGCACAGGTGGGGCGCCGGTGTGTGTCGCGTTTCATCGCGAGCCTCCCTTCATACTTCTTCTTCTTCGCGCACCTTTTTCTCCTTATTGTAAGCGTTTTCAAAAGGGGATTGTTTCTTCTCGAATTTTCGTCAAGTCGATCTCTCTCGCGAACGAAGAAGAGTTCGACGAAACATTAAAAAAAATTGGTTAAGAGGAAATTCTGTTAAAGGGATAAAATCTTGGTGGTATGTAAAAAAAGAGGGAAAATTCGTTCGAGGTGTGTGTGTGTGTGTGTGGTGCATCAACGAGAAACGAGACACACGCGGCGCCGTAACAAGAAATTATCTACAAGTACACGTGTTTTGCTTCTCTCTCTCTCTCTCTCTCTCTCTCTCCCTCTCTCCTCTTTCTTCTTTTCTTCGCTACACACCGTTTGGCGTCGTGTTCGTACGCCTCGTATATTTCTCTCTGTTTCATTTCTTCTTATTTCCTTCTCTTTTCGCTTAATTTATTTGCACTACGCAGCCGTTTCTTCTTTTCTTCCTTTCTTTTTTCTCTCTTCTTTTTCCCTCGATCCACCTCGACGATCGAACAGTATTTTATTCAGGCTATACCGCGCGAGAGAAGAGAAAGAAACCGGAGGAGGGGTGTGAGGTGGACGAGCGTGTAAAAAGGAAGAAGAAGATAGATCGTCGAGGTTGATCTCTAAACGCGGCTTCATTGAACGGAAACGCGCTCTTAAAGAGAAAGAAAAATTATCGTAAATAACTTTGGGCAACGATTGCTTCCTTCTTTTTCTCCCTCCTACTCTCGTTCTCTTCTTTCATTCAATACATCATTCTCTCGTTCTATCTCACACACACACACACACACGCACAATCTTCCTCTCTCTCTCTCTCTTTTTCGCTGTTTCTCGTTAGACAAGGTACTTAGAATATCTTCAGTAGAGTCTATTATCTTCTCACACTCTCTCTCTCTCTCGCTATTTCCCTTACGCACCTACCGAATATCGATCAATTAATTAATTAATCAATTAATAATAATAATATAT